AGCGGGCACTTTCTGAACTGAAGACTCTCAGATGCAAACTTGCTCCTGAAGTTGAGAGCACTGAAGCTGGACAGCCCTAATGACACTCTGACATCATCTCTTCCCTCTGAGGTGACCTGGGGCAGGTCACTGTCCTCCATGAGCCTCAGTGTCCCCATAGGATTCTTAGAGATGGGATAAAGCGCTAGTGTCTTGTAGAAAGGTATCATTATTATTAGCTGTAAATGTAGGGAGGAAGATTAATCTCTAAGGTAAGTGGAACTTGACTTAAGCAAACTCTGTTTAAGAAAATTTATTTCTCATCAAAATTGGAGTACCTAGCTCTCTGTGAACCCTTTTTGCCCTCTGCCCCTCAAGGAAACCACTGGGGTTTCTAAAGCCATCGGAAGACCCCCTCCAACTCAGCCCCCTCCTGACCCTCCTCCCAGGAAACAGAACCAGCAACCCACTCCCACGTTCTAGAGAACAGACCTTGCGCAGGTCAGAGCCGCTTGAAAAATGAAATTAGCTCTGCCCTTTAAAAATGTATCTCTTGATTCAAAAAACGATACCAGTAAAGGCTCTCAACCACAGCCACAATCTGATATGCAGGAAGAAAGGAGCACCCCCTCCAGTTTCTGAGGAACATATAGGGAAGGCATTGACGTCACCAACGCGGAAAACACTGTCTCCAAATGTGAGCGGCGTGTCCTTCCACGTTTCCTCACGCCCCACGACTCCTGCCCTGTTCAGGACAGTGGAACATGCAGCCCTGTGGCTTCAAGGAAGGGCAACTTTGGCAGAAGCAGAGAGAATGCTTTTGAATTTCCACAGCCCGGGTCTTTGACAAAATGGTAGTGACAGAGAGCAGATCAGTGGGTGGGGGAGGGTGTGACTATAAAAGGGCAGGAAGAGGGGGTTTTGGGGGTGAGGGAGCTGTTCTATATCCTCATCATTATGGCAGCTACATAAACCCACACAAGAGTTAATATTCATAGAAATGTGCACCAGGAGAAAAAGCTAACTTTACAGTAGGCTAATTTTTTAAAAAATGTTTTTGTCTAGGTTTTTCAATTTCAAAACTCAGAGGATAGGCGACATCAAGGATAGCACACATACAGTGAATTGAAGCAAGGTTTCCTGTCCCCAAGACTAGAAAACTCCCCATGTTGGGTTGGTGGAGTGTGAGGATCCAAGAGAAAAGAAGAGAACATAGTTCTGGTGGGTTCTGGAAAGTGTCTCATGCCCTTGCGGCTCCCCAGGCAAAACTTGGCGTGGGAGGAGGGACGCAGAAAACCTAAGTCAGTGGATTCAGGAACAGGAGGCATCTCTGCCCATGTTCCCTTGAAGAGCTAAGAGAGAGGATGAGACCTCAGGGAGAGAAGATTAACTGGACGGTCTAGAGGGGTCCAGGCAGAGGGGCTGGGCTGGCTCCCCTGGTCCTGCCCAAGGAATTAAGAAACAGTAGGAAAGTCAGGGTGTCTAACAAGGAAATGAGAAGTAAATGCTAAATCAGAGAGGCATCTGGACAGGAGGGAAGCACAGGGTCTCCTCCATCGGGGACCAGATGGCATGTGGATGTCTCTGTATTTCCAGTCAGAACAGGGACAGGGCAGCCTCCTTCAGATGCCTCAGCAGAAATGAAGTCTCTAGAACAAAAATAAAAGGCCAGGGCAAAATGGGGAAGTTTCTGTTACCCAGCAAAATGGCATTTGATATGATAACAAAACTGTAGATACATTAGAAGGAAAAACGTCTAGATCATGTGTTTATGGACAGGATTCCCACCAGCTCCCCCGACGTTATCCCCCACAGCCCTGTGAGGTAGATATCGCCCTCCCCTTTGACAGATGTGGAAACTGGAGCTCAAGACTTGGAGAGACTTGACTGGGTCACAGCATTTGAAGCAGGGCCATCTGTGCCCTAATCCGTCCCCTTTCTGCCAGAATAACAGAAGCCGCCTCCTGGCTTCAAACCAGAGGCTGTAAGAGCCCAGTAACTGGCCGCACAGACTTAATCAGTCCCCTGACTTATCTGCCTCTGTTTCCCCAAAAGACAGTAGTAACTTGACCCCACCCATGAGAGTTGCGCCAAGATAAAAACTGGGACGTGTCAGAATTGCACCAAGATAACAAAAACTAAGACCCCTTTGAGGATGACTGACAGCATACAAGCTGTGGGAAGACTCTAGCGAGTGCTTGAATGGATAATGGAGTTCAAAGCCACCGCCCCAGCCCTTGGAGTCATTGGCCAGACTCTTTCAGGAAGTGGGAGGGCTTCCAGTGAAGACCTGGAGGGAGGGCAGCGTGGCCCACCGGTTACAGGGATGTCAGACACGGAGGCAAATTTTGACTCCATCACTCACTTGCTGTGTGTCCCTGGGAGGTAGTCACCCTCTCTGAACCTTGGTTGCCTTATCTGATGATTGAGGGAAAACCATACCAAGCATTCCTGACAAGACAAGATTCAAATATGGAGAGCCCCCAGCACATAGTGGGTCCTCAAGAAATGTGCATTTCCACCTTCTCTCTCTGCTTTTGCTAATAAGGCATTAGGTTCAGCAGGGCAAGACATGTTCTTGACGCTCTAAGACCTTGATCTCTCCATTCCTCAGTATTTTCACCTGTAAAACAGATTCCAAGACCCAACTGGTGTGGACAAATGCTGTTACTTCCTGTGTGGAAGGGAAGAAGAAAGGGTAAAGGTAGAGACCAGGATGCACAGCATCCCTCAGGCCTGAGAAGCTGGAAAGACTTTTCCAGGATATAAAAGTGAAATTTCAGGAAAGTGTGAAATTCAAGGATGCAGCAAAGCAAAATGGTCAGTGAGTGTTCAGAAGGCATCTTTGTCCCTCAGCTCAGTGACTCAGAGAAAGGACCGGAGTGTAGATGCCTCGGCCCCATCCCACTGTGCAATTCTGGATGTGTCAACTCACACCCTGAGCCTCAGTTTCCCCTTGTCAATGGGGGTCTTCATTCCCACGTCACACAAACTTACGAGGATTCATGAGATGCCGCGTGTGAAAAGCAACGCCGGGCCTGGCATACAGCAAGAGCTCAGCAAGTGTCAGCTGTTGACACTGTTAGTATGGTTATTAGTATCCAGTGAGTTGAGTTCTGACTCTGCCACATCCTCCCTGTGTCTTTGGGCACTTGTCCCTGCTGTGCCTTAGTTTCTTCATCTGTGGAGGAGGAGCAGCAGCCCCTTCCTCCCAGCGTTCTGGTGAGGATGTATCACCCCCAGCATGGAACTGTCATGCAAGAGGGACTCAGATGTCCCAGAAGTAGGGAAATCAGAGACAGATTCTCTTTTTGACATTTTGACAATTTGGAGAGAAAGAATAGGACCAGGAATGGAAGAGCCTAGATATGAGCCCGAGATCCCTTCCTGGTTACAGTTGGCTGCCTCCCCCAGTGTTCCAAATTTGATCTTCCAGGCCACCTCAGAGCATGGGTCCCCAACCTGAGCCCCACTCATGGAACATGAAGTCTTGAGCAACAGCCCCTTCTCAAGTTGTTCTCTGTTTATCTTGCCGATCAAATGTCTTAACTGTCCCACCTACTTATGTGATTGGCAATTATTTAATTTAGAGAGCCCTGAAGGACTCCACCAGACTGCAGAATTCTGAATTATCTAGAAACCCTTCATCTGATCACACATTTCCTGATTCCCACAGTATAAAAGAGGCTGCCTCCTCAGCAGAAGCGAACAGGAGAGAGGAGACCAGGACAGCCGCCAGGACCTCTGAGAAGCCCAGGTGAGACCTGCCTGATCTGCTTCTGCTCCGCTGCCCAGGGCGGCAGGGGTCCCAGGCTCCTCACTGTGGGCCGGGCCTTGGCTGACTGCAGTTAGGATCACTCATTGGGGTCTTTCAAGAGAAACAGAGCTGGGCATTTTTGGGGGTGTGGGATGGTCATTCACTCTGTTTCCCTAAGAGACAGGTAACCTCAAAGTAGAAATGTTCAGCAGCAGGGAATTTGATGGTGATGGGGAGCTCATGGCTGCAGGGGACACTGCAGAAATTCCACGTTCGGGTTCTCTCATGTGTCTGCTCTTCATGCCCTAAATCAAAATCTCTACAGTAGGAGTTTTAGCTTGAGTTTGCACTTGTGGATTCAGATCAGGATCCACAAATCTAAAATAACCCAATTTTGTACATTCTGATGCATTTTTCTGGGACTAGGCTCCTTAGCTTTCATTAGATCCATAAAAGATCTATTTCCCAAAAGGGATTCAGAGGCCCCGATCCAAGTTACCTCCCCAGGCAAGCCACAACAGGCTCTTTCAATCCCAGCCGGCCACAACAAGGATGGTGCTTTGGAGAAATCAGCCAGTTGATGGAATTTTGTCCAAAACAGGTGTCTCCAAAGTGTAAGAATCAGTCCCAATTTTGGGCACCTTTGCTGGCTGTCAAATAGGCCCTTGAGAGGGTTGATGGCATCTGGGAGAGGATGGTGCAAAAGGCAGTCAGACATCAGGGGTTGCCCCAGAAGTTTGTCCAGATCTGCTTGTGGGAGAAGAGAAAAGAGAAAGTGTAAGAAAGATAATGTGTGTGTGGAGTGTGTGTGTGTGGAAGGGGCTGAGGGGAGGGTTCAGAGACCTACCTCTGACCACAACTCTTCTATCAATTTGCTGTGTGACCTTGGGAAAGTCATTACCCCTCTCTGATTCCCTGGTTTTCCTGGTGCAACGAGGACTTTGGACGGCCACAGGATTTCCTGAGCGCTGGTCTGGATGAGATGGTGGCTATGAGGTGTGAACTCTGATATTCTGTGACTTGCAAGGACTTCCACAAACCATTGAGGGCTGGACCCAGACCGAAGGATGTAATGGGGATAGTGGCAAAGCAGTTAGTTCCTCAGCCACATCTGTGTTTAACTTTTCATTGACTTTGTCTAATTCAAACCACTGTGAGCAAGCTCAATTGGAGAGTCAATCTGATGGTCACTTAGTTTAAACAGAGGCTTCTGGGTCAAACAGATCTGGCTCTAAATCCCATCTCCATTGTGTACCTGTGACCTTGGGGGAGGTTACCTAAGCTCACTAGGCCCCCATTTTTTCACCTGTGCAATGCGAGTGATGAGTGCCCACGTCTTAGGGTGTGGTTGGGATGCTGTCAGTTACTGAGTGTGCAGTGCTCACCCTGAGGCCTGGCTCGGAGGAAATGGGGAGTGGTGTTAGCTATGGATCTTCTCTCCCTGGTGTTCTGGGGGAGGGCGCAGGTGGATCAATTCCTCTCTGGTATCTGTGTCATGCTGGACTGGTTGCTCTGTTCTCAGATAGGAAGAGAGAAGATGTTTCGAATTGGGGCCCTCATTGTCTTCTGTGGGCTCCTGGCCCAGACCACAGCCCTGCTGGAAGCCATGCCCTCGCCCCTGGACCCAACTCTGCCCTCGTCTATGATTCCGGACGTGGAAGTGAGTATCCCAGATGTTCCCGGAAGCTTGAGCAGTGGTAAGTGAGAGTCTGTGACTTCCTGTTTCAGCTGTGTGTGTGTTCAGCTGTCCAGTGGAGGGAGGGGGGCAGGGATGAATGGGGGAGTGGGGCTAAGGATTTGGAATTGTCCGATCTGACCCCGGAGGACCCCTATACCCCTTTCCAGCTCTCAGCCATGGCTTGCTCTCTGAGGGTCTGTTGGGCAGTCTCGAAAATCTTCCACTCTCGGATGCTCTGAAGGCTGAAGGAGTCACTTCCAGAAGCCTGTTTAGGGGCCTGCTTGGGAAAATGGTTTCAGCAATGCCTTTCCTGAACATCATTGAGTGAGTAGCCCTGAAATAGGGCCTTGTCCCCAGCAGAAAACCCCCAGTGGAGATCTGACAGCCCACCCAGTTGTCCTGAAGGAGGGCGGGGGTGGTCTGAACATGAGCCCAGGACTCAGTCTGAGACCCTTCTCACAGTCTGGTAGAGAATAACAGCCCTCTTGAACCAGTAATTGCCCCCAGTCCTGAAGCATGTCCTGAGTCCCCAGTATCATCTATAATCCTCCCAACAGCCCTTTGAGGTTGATTTGATAAACCCCAGTTTACAGATGGAAAAACTGAGGCACAGAAAGGAGCCTGTTCTCACACAACTTGACTGATGTGGAGTAAGGGACCTGACTCCAATTTACTCAAGTCCAGGTCAAGGCTTTTTCCATCACACATGATAATCTTGTGCTCCTCGCCTGTGGAATCCCTTAGAACATACGTGGCCTTCGATATAAGCAAGAAAGTGTAAGCTTCTCTCCTCAATTATATCGTCAATGTGATGTCCATGCAATAATCTAACACAGTGTTTCCCATGAGACACCTGAGAGGTCTCCATGCGAGGAGCAATAATGGAAAGCTTGATGCCAGGGAGCTGGAGAAGTCTGAGTCCTTCAGAGGGCTGGATCAAAGCCATTTCCAAGATTCCTTCCCACTCAGGTGCTTGCTCCTGACTTGAAGAGAGACAGATAGCCTCGAGTTTGATTTCTAAATTCACCATGTACTTGCTGGGTGACCTGGGACAAGGCACTCAGTCTCTCTGTGCTTGGTTTCTCCATCTGTAAAAAGAAGATTATGGTGCCCACAGAAAGAAACTGTTGGGGGGACTGGAGGGAATGTAAATCTCATGGCACAGTGGCCGGCCCAGAGAAGAGGCTTACTTCCATCCTCTCTCCATTCTCTCTGACTTCCTGCTCAATCTCCATGAGAAACATGGCTGATTGACCTGCCATTGAAGGTCATGGCAGGATGAGTGACTCCTAACGGTAAATGTTTATGAAAGACCTACTCCAGTTGCCCGTATATCATCCACTCATCCACTTACCCATCTGTCCATCCATTCACCATCATTCCTTACATCTAACCACTTACTTTTCCATGCACCCACCCACGTATCCATCTACCCACCTGTTCATCAATCCACAAAGTCAACCAACGTGGAGTAGACCCTTTCTTTGTAAGTCTCTAAGTTGGCATACAGGATACAAATATAACCCAAACACAGTTTCTATCCTGGAATAGCTCGTGGACTTGAGATGAGGAGAGGGCCATGTGTGTGTCGGGATCTGACTCAGTGCATAGGTTGAGAAAGACTGATGTACGACTCAAAACCCATCTGGCTTTTGCTGCAAGACACCCCTTCTGGGTAGCTCCACCTCTGGGGTGGGTAAAGTTTGGTTAAATGTGTTTCTAGCTTTTGGGCTGGAGGACCTAATGTTTCTTCCTCCAATGTTGCTCCCTGGGCAGTGTGAAGGTCACTAATCCCCAGATGCTGGATCTTGGCCTTGTGAAGAGCCGTGATGCCCGTGGTCTCTATGTCATCATTCCTCTGGGCATGACCCTCAATGTGAATGTGTGAGTGGGCTCCAAGACAGGATCAGAAGATGATTCACCAAAGGAGACTCTGATGACCATGGGGAACCAAAAAGGGGGCGTTGAAGTTTAACAGACATGAGTCTCCAACTTCAGCTCTTTTGCTCCTATACTGAGTGACCTTGGGTCACTTGGGAAACTCAATTAACCTCTTTGAGCCTTGGCTTCCCCTCCTGGGAAATGAGAGGAGTACAGATGTGGGCTATGTGGAGTGAGGTGAGGGTGGCATTCTTAGCAAGAAGAAAAAGCCTCCTCTGCCTTGGAACGTGGTAGCAGACTGTCTCCTCTGCAGGCCCCTGGTTGGAAGTCTGTTAAAGCTGGTTGCAAAGCTAAATGTCACCGCACAACTCTTACCTTTGAAAGATGACGAGTACAACTTCTACATGGTCCTTGGCAGCTGCACTCACTCCCCTGGCAGCCTGCACATCATCTTGCTTGAAAGGTGAGGCCAGAGAGGTGGCTTCTGCTGCCCAGAGACAATAGGATGGGATGACGGATGGATGGCTGAGAAGATGGAACAATGGGAAAATGGATGAGTGAGAGGATGGAAGAGTGGGAAGATGGATAGGAGGGAGGGAAGATGGATGGATGGGAGGATAGAGGGGTAGATGAGAAGGTAAGCGGATGGGTAAATAGTCACTTATCCCTTCTGAGGCTGGATTGACTAATTTTATGCTGGTTTAGGCAACAAGAAATCTGAGTTCAAGTTCCAGCTACCAGAGGGGCATGGAGAGAGGTGGAGGGCTTCCTGTGTGAACTTGGACACTGCTTCTCAACTTGAGTCTCAGCTTCCTCAGATAACAGTAATATGGAGCTACATCGGGGTTGCTGACAGAATGCACTAAGATAATCGGTTTGAATGTGCTTTGTCCCAGTAAGGGGTAAAATAGCTCTGGAGCTTAACTGGGTTACGGATTTCAGTAATTGTCACAAGGGACACTGAGTCTGGCACAATATGGAGGAGTCGTTCTCATCATGGCTCACATTTATTGGACACATATACTGTGCTTCACATGTATCATCTCGTTGAATCCTCATGACAACTGCATACTATTCACTGTTCAACCATCTATAGATTCTACAAAGTCTCATTGCACACCTACTGTGTACTGGAACTATGTGTTTATTCTACACACACCTACTGTGCACACTGCTGTGTAGGGTGTCACTCCCTTTGGATAGGCCCCTTGGTGTTTGCTGGCATGTGGGTGTGGATGGACATGGCCCATTCTCAGTTTCTTGGTGCTGAGACTGCCATGGGCACAGTGGCCCTTCTGAAGGCTTCTCCATACCAACCCCACGCCTCTGCATCACCCCATGGCTTTTTCCTTTCAGATGGGTCCCCGTCCCCTTTCGTTGCCTCTCCGAAAGATTCGGCAAGATCCTTCCTGGGCTGGTGCAGGACAAGGTAAGTGGGTAGAAGTGGGGGCTCCTGATCCTTGGCTCTTAGAGCTTATCAGGCTGAAAGAGGCCCCTGGGGTGAGCTTTTTGAGTCCCTCAGCTTGATAAGTAAATTCCTTCCACCAGTCTATCTCTCTATTCACCCATCTGTGCGTGTTTCTTCTTCCCATCTTTCAAAATACATTGGTTTGTGCCTGCTCTGGACCAGGCCCTGTGCTGGTCCAACTACAAGTCAACAGGACTGGCCTCTGCCCTGAGAAGCTCCCAGCACAGCCCGCTATGGCACAGACGAGCACTCTTCCAGCCCATACTTGGGTGCCTCCTATAACCAGAAACTCACCCCTCCCAGAGCAGTCCACCCTGTTTAGAAACAGATGTCATGTCACAGAGTGAACAATGGCTCCTTGTGTGATGGCACTTCACACACAAGCCTTCAGTCTCTCCTCTGCCCAGTGTGGATGTGGGATTGCTGAGAATCAAACACTCTCAGACACAGAGAAATGATAGAAAATCTCCCCAGATAATCCATCCTTGGGATGCTGCTGCTTCCAGGATCCACCTACAGTGCCACTTTGCCTAACTCTCCTCTCTTCCCCTGGGTCAGCTGTGCCTTAGGCTCACAGGGGCTCTCAGCAGCATGGAACTCACCCTGGTCGAGGCCACTGTGGGTAAGCCCCGGCTCCCCCTCTGCAGGAGCAGTGATTTCCCCTGAGGAGATCTGTCCCTGCACACCATAGGATGCTAGCTCCCTCCAGCCTCAACTCTCCCCAGTTTGAGTTATTTTGTGCCTTGATTTATCCATATGTGTTGAGGTATAGACCCTGTCTCCCCCATCATCCCTGACACTGAGAACAGCTGGGCTGGTTGGTGGAGGAGGCGAGGCCCCCCTGCGTGGGCTTGGACGGATCGCCAGAGTCCCCATTTCCTGGCCCCAGGCCTCAGGGGCATGTGAGGTAACCCAGGACTCCTTCACACTGAGATCATCACTCTGGTCTATGGTGGTGGTGGTTTTTTAATTTTCCAGACTTGATTATCTATGGGCAGGATTTTGCCTTGAATGCGTAGGCTTCCAGGAAGGGACCGGCCTCTGCTGACCTGGTGAGTGTTGTACCCCACTCCCCAGGATTTGGGAGCTGGCTCCCAGTAGGGGGCAGCAGGGACTTTGGGACAGTGACATCCAAAGAAAGAGACAAAGAGCCACATAGAGAGAGACAGAGATGCACAGAGACGTCCACAGAAATGCTGACAGAGATGGAGAGACACAGGTGGCACTGCATCATAGCTACAAAGAGAAACACAGATGGTCATGGATACTCACAGACACATACACACATGCCTAAACACGTGGTCACTCAGACCTATAGAAATCTATGCAGACATATAGAGGCACACTCTCACACCAGCATGCTCACACACATGTGCACACATTTGCAGACTCACGACGTGCAAGTACTCATGGATACACAGACAAACACTGAATCAAATACATGCACAAGAAGCCCTCTACTCCAGGCCTGGACTACCCTTGTGACTGAGACAAGATCCCTATCCCCAGGGTCTTAGCCTCCTCCCCTGCATCTGGAGGGTGGGTTTGATGATGGGCCAATGCCGAGAATAGCCAGTAACCTTGAGTTTCCAATCTGATTGGGGTCTTCTCCCAACAGAACCATTTCCTGCTGTTCAATCCACTCCCTGCCCAGCTTATGAGGGCTCACAAAAGGATGTCCCATGTTCTGGAAAATGACATGGCTGCTGTTTGAACACCAAGGCAGCATTCTCTCTGAGAGAACTGCTCCCCATCCTTTCCCATTAGGCATTTGTTATATTCCATATTCCTCACCAAATAAAATTGCTCTTCCCATGCACCGGGAGCCTTGTTATTCTTAAGCATAACTTGAGGCTTCATAGGTTGGAAAGAGCCCAGACCTTGGCAGTTTGTGCCATAGAACAGAGTTTGGGCCTTACATTGGAGATCTTAATGGTCTTAAGCATGTCAGGGACATGTCCAGATGAGTGTGGATTTCTGCTGTCCTTAGGAAGGGTGGACAGGGGGTTGAGGGCAGATGTAACACTCTAGGCAGAGATGATGACACATGGGTTACTACACAAGAAGTGAAAATGGCAGATTTGAGAGATGTTCAGGAGGTGAACCTGGAAGGGTGAGGGAGCAGGTGAGGCTCCTATCCATGTCTCAGGTTGGGGAGCCTGAAGGTAACTGGAAATGTGGGAGGATGAATTGATTCCAGCAGGAAGGTTATGCCTTTAGCTGTGGCCACTCTGCGTGGAATTGCCTGGGAGACCCCGAGGAAGACGTCCAGGAAGCTGATGGATACACAAGTCATCTACTGCTCTGCTTTCGCTTACAAGCATCCAGTTGTACTGACCTCTTTTCTGTTCCCAGCAAGACGATGAGAAAGATAACAACAAGAAAGTGTAAGAGGAAGGACAAAGGGGTCCAAAGTGTTCATTACTAAAGTCTTGAGAAAGATAGGCATAGAGAGGTGTCTTTGGAATTGTAAATAAAAAGATTATCGATGTTCTGGATGAGAGTCATATTTTTGGAGGAAGAAGTCTGATTTTAAGTAAGTGGGAAGAGGTAGGGATGTAAGGAAGTTGACACTGAATGCAGATAAGATTCATGAAAAATTGGAGGCAAGAAAGAAGAAGAACAGGGCTGCTCGGGCTAGGGAAGGTTGTCCCCTCAAAGAAAAAATAAATACACTGTCATTGTTTAAGGTCCTCAGAGGACCAGCCCAACCCTTTCACCCCACGGATGAGGAGACTGAGGCCTCGGTGTGTGTGAATGACTTGCACAAGGTCACAGAGTGACAAAAAGGCAAATCAAGGCCTGAAACATCCAAGACTTCACAGAAAACCATGTCCGTTTCTCTTTGGGAGACCCCACTGACCTTGTGAGAATGAGCAGATTCAGGTTGGTGATTCTCAACCCCTGCCGAACATCTGTCATCAGGCCCAGAGCCATCACTCTCCACCTACTCTTGCCAGAAACCGACATGGCATCGTAGGGAGACAGTCCCATAGTTCAGAACTGCCGGAAGGCTTATCGTAGGAAACCAGCTTGTGTCTTCTGGTGAGGATATAAGGGAGGAAGCATCATCCAGGCCCACAGAAGCACGAGATCTTTGAGCTGAGGATGAGTAGTTAAATCCCCTAAGCAGCTGAATGATCATTGTGAATGTCACCTCAGCAGTGACCTGAAGGACAGAAGGAATTTGCAGACTGGAAACCAGCAGTCAACACTGATTGGGCTTAGGGAGAATTCAGGCATTAGTTACTGTCATGTCCTTTCTGGGCAGGCATTACTTCAGGACTGAGACACCCCCATGGCTGAGGCCCCAAGACGCAAAATGCTTAGGACAGGCACACACACCTGGGACCATCAGCACTGGTCCCGCTGCCCTGTGACTGTGGCACCAAACTGTATACCTGCCTGGACACACAGCCACTGCCGACCTCTGGATACTATTTCCCACTGTTCCCTGGACTTCTTCCTACAGCCCACAGATGGGTCTTTCCCTCCCCTAACAATTTCAATTCCTAACTAACTAGTCTAAGACCCCCCTCGATACGAAAGAGTCTGGCAGGTGGCAAGGTTTATCAGAACACATTTATGACTCTTAAATAGTGACAATATTTTCACATTTTAAAATCTCTCTAACGGGATATCAGTGACAATAGCATATTAAAGACCTTGGAAATTCTCTCCTCCATAAAAGCAATGAGAAAACTGGCAAAAAAAAAAAAAAAATGTCAGAGCAAACATTTTCAGAACTTGTGAAATTAACCAAAGCTTACAGCAATCTAGGGGGTGTTTATTCAATAAAAATTGCTGAATCTTGGTGAGAACAGTGAGCTTTGTGGTGTTTAGCTTTGCTTAGTCCCATCTCCCACTCTCCAGCTCCACAGTAGACTTGAAAACCAAACACCCACAATCTTGGTGAAAATCAGTCTCCTGGCAGCCACTGGGGGGAGGCAGAAGGGGGTCAGGACAAATTCAAAGCCACGTTCCCAGAGAATGGTCATTATTTGACCTGCCTGATAGTTCCCTGGAAGACCCCATTCTCAAGGCTGTCTTTACCTGATCTGACTCAGAGCTCGCCCAGTCAGTATGAATAGCCTTTCCCCAAGGATTTCTGACAAAATAGTAGACAGACCTTAAGACAGGGTCCCCAGGAGTTTTTAATTCTCTAGCTAGTCCACATTCAGTTTTCAGCAATTTGTCATAATGACCTTTGAAGGGTCCCTCTTGGTTACTGGCTTCAGCAGCCTCACCTTCAGGTAAGCTGATCTTGCCTGTAATTCTATGTGTTCATCTATCTCTCCAGATTTCAGGATGGCAGCTTGCCCTAGGACCACACTTCTCTGATGGACCTGAGAGAGTGTTTGATTTTAAGTTTGTTGAGTTCTTTTCTTGCTGTGAGGATAGGAGTGACAGCTTCCAAGCTCTTTACATGTCAAAACTGAAATTGGAAGTCTGGAGTTTTTATAATTTTCACCAGTTACATTTGTTTCACTGGTGAATTGGCCCCCAGAGCCCCTCATACTGCCATCCTGAAAGTGAGACTTCTTTGGAGGTTGTCACCATTATTTCTTCAAATTTATTTTCTACACCACCCTTTTCTTCCTCTTGTTTCAGGACTCTGATGATATGAATGTAGACCTTTTGTCATAGTCCCACAAACTCTGAGGCTATGTTCATTTCTTTCAGCTTTTTTATCTTCGTCTTATTCAGATTAGATAATGTCTACTGATTTATCTTCAGGTTAGTTGACCACTTCCTCTTCCATTTCCATTGTGCTGTTGTGCTTATCCACTGATTTTATTTTTGCTTTTACATTCCAAAATTTCCACGTAGTTCCTTTTTAAGGTTCCATTTCTCTTCTGAGACTTTTATGTTTCGGTTTATTTCAAAAATGTTAGTACTTAGTTCTTGGAGCATGATGATACTAGCTGCTTTCAAGTCACAATCTGTTATTTTCATTATTTAGATCATCTCAGAGTTAGTACCTATGGGTTGTCTTTTCACCCGAGAATTTGCCAGACTTTCCTACCTAATTGTATTTCAAGTAATTTTGGACTGTATGCTAGACATTTTTAATATTATGTTATGGGAATCTGGATCTTGTATAAATCCTATGGAGAACATTGAGGGGGCTGGGTGTTTGTTTTATCATGGAATTGACCCTGTTAGAGTTAGGATAACCCATTAGATTCAAGTTCCAACCCACATTCTGTGGGCTGTGTTTTTCAAAGGAGATTTCTTCCACTGTCTTTACTCATGGTGGTCCCTCATTCCTACCTTTTGGATCAGAAAGAGAGGACTTCTTTTGAAGCTCTTTGTGTTCATACCTGTGTGTAGTTCCATGATTCATGCTGCCATTGAGTCCAGGATGAAAGATACAGGGGACATAAAAACCCAGGAAACTCACCTATGGATCATTCATTCTTTAGGTTATGATTTCCTTCCCCATTCACCTGCCATCAGTTACTTTTCAGAATCCTCAGAGAGCTACCTCATTCACTGTGTCCCAGGTTTTAGTTTCATTCAGTAGGAAAGAAAGAATGGATTATGCTTACTCCATCTATTTCAAGTCTCCAATCTGCCAAACCAGATGGCTTATGGCAGATGAGTATGGATTACCAGAAATTTAACCAAGTGCCCTTACAGTTGTGGTATACTTACTAGAACAGTTGACTGCAGCCCCTGGTGCTTGGTATGTAGCTATTGATCTGGAAAATGTGTTCTTTTCAATACACATCAGATGATGAGTTCAGAAGCAAATTGCATTCACTTGTGATGGGCAATGGCATGCATTCAGTCTCGCCCCTGCTCTCTGTCACAAAATAGTGTGCAGGAGTCCTCCCTATTTGTGTTCTAGTTACTATTTCTGTATAATATATCATCCCAAAATTGAGTGACTTAAACAACAACACTCATTTCATGATATTCTATGGTGTCTGTGAGTCAGAAATTTAGGAAGGCTCAGGGGAAGTTGTGGTTCATGGTCCTGCATGTGACTGCAGCTTTACTTGTAATCACTTACTTAACCCTCCACACAGCCCTTTGAGGTAGGTACTGTTATTAATCGCCTCCCTCTGCAGAGACACAGAAAGGTTGAGTAAAATCCCTAAAATCACCCAGCTGGGCCAGAGTGGGGCTGGAGCAGGAGCTAGGCAGCCAGACCCGCAGGAGGGAGATCAGAGGAGCTGTCGCTCATCCTCTGTCAACCTCCCCATACCACACCCACTCTGCTTTCCAAGGTGATCCCACACCCCCCACAGGAGTTCCAAGGAGACTTCAGACTCATTATTGAGCCCCAATTTTGTGCCAGGCTCTGCTCCAAGCATTCTTTGAGATTAATTTGACTAATCCTCCAAATAACCCTTGAAGGTTGAGTCATTATTGCCCCATTTCACAGACGGAAAGTCTGAGACAGAGAGATGGAGTCACTCGCCCAGGACACACAGCTAGTAAGTGTGGAGCCAGGATTTGAACCCAGGCTGTCTGACTCTGTAGGCTCTGTCTTGTCTCTGGATAAATTTGCTCATAGCCCTTGTCCTTCATCCCAGGCTCTGCAAGCCTACTTTTTCCAGTGGCATTGCCTCTCGTATTCTACAGAGGCCACTGAAGACTCTGACAGACAAACATGGCAAATCTCAAAGATGTGCCATGAGCTGGAGCTGATCCACTAGGGGGACTGAGGACTGCAGGGCTCATCTTAGCCAAGAACACTCTGGACCACTAGAGGGCAGGCGCTGGCCCCTCAAGCCCAGAGTCAGACCCAGCAGAGGTGTTCTCAGGAGGAAAGGAGGAAGGCAGTTCACTCACAGTGACCA